ACTACAATTAAAAAAATGAAAATGGGGGAAGCTAACCCCACTTCCTGACGGATTGCTTTGAAAAGAGTTTGCTGTTGAAGACGAATCGACCAGACGTGTTGTTTTTTTTGTTTCTCTGAAGTGACTGAATAGGATGGAGATTCCATTTGTCTCTTAAGTGAACCCCTTGTGGTTTTATGTATCACGTCGTGTGATAATTAAGGTCTGTCGCAGGCCAGGCAATTAGATTCGACGTAGACTCGAGAACTCTGAAAATCTCCGACCTCGAAGTGAACTGTACTTGTGATTTAATCGTTAACTAGAGATAAAATTTTTATTCCAATTTTAATTTCTTTGTACAATAACCTAGAGTACATTATTTATATATATATAACAATTAAGATATGACGGTTCCCATGAACATGAAGTGGCCGTCTTCTTGAATCCGTTATAGGTTTAATATAGGTCGAGACTTTACAAATCTAATCACCCATTTGGAACAAATTATTCATTTTGCAAACATCCAAAATTCTAAATGATTCTTTCTTCATCTTAAGTTAAATTACAGTTTATTTCTAAAAAGAATAATTTTTTTCATTGATACATAAAATTAACCTTTTGCATGGTTGTTCTTTCTTAAGAAAATTTGAAAACTTAGTAGTAAGGTGATTTTAATATTTTAAATTTGTGTATTAAATGTAATTAAAAATTGCTGTTTTTACAATTTTGAAATGTATAAAAACATTTGTAGTTTCTCTTAAGAATTTTAAGAACACATTTAATTTATTTTATAAGTTATTAAAATTTCAAAGCATGTGATTGAAAATATAATATAAATAAAAAAAACCCTCTTCCTTATGGGCAATATAGATTAAACATAGTATTTAATTTTGCTATAATTCTTTTTATCATAGAAAATTATGTATTCTTTAGGTAATGACTATGATCAAGCATTAACAGATATTATAGTAAACTTTTGTTTTATTACTTTATCTCCAAATTTTAATATGTCATTTACGAATATACTTATTTTTGCAAATTAATTCAAATTGTCATGTCCAAAAAGTAAGTACTACAAGTCACTGAGGAACAAATAAGTTTTATTTGATGTAGCTCTCTTCTTAAAATTCTACAAAGTGCACTCTCTAAATATACTTGAACCAGCAAAGATATTAAACATGAATATAAATTTGAATTTTATTTAAATGCCTCTGAAATAATAAACATGCGTGTTCTTACTTTTTCTCGAAACATATAAATATAGATATTGAACAAAAAAAGGAAATTAACTTAAAAATGTTTTAAAAAGAAAATTCAAAATTAAGTCAAAAACAAATTAGAATGTATTTACAAAACACATTTAGGTAAACGTGCGCTCTGTTATTTTTACTTTACGCGGGAATATGTTGTATAGAAACGTGCTTCAAGAATATTCAAAATGCATTGCTTGAATCTAACACACGAAAAAGTAAATATTATATATCTTTGATTTTTTTTTATTTTGGAAAGAATTTTCTTCGCGGGTTCATGCCAATTGCCAATTTATTCTTGCGCAAGGCAAACCATTGAGGTGGAACATTACTTTCTTTATATTGCAATCCCAGAAAAAGAGAAATACAAATTCCCAGACTTTAAACAGAAAGAAAAAAAGTTTTCTTGATTTTTTTTTTTTTTTTCTGAAATCCGTTGTAGATCTGATCTCTCAGCACTATTTAAAATTTGTTTCTGGTTTTCCCAACTTAGAAATGGGATTGTTTTCGTGGAAATTTCCCATGCCTTTTTTGCTTTTTCAGTGTTGGAATAGTTATAATTTATCCTTTGTTTATTTTTTCTGGTAACATATGCGTAAAAAAAATATTTGAAGGGGAGTGATTTTATTTTGGTTTAGCAGAAATATGAATACTGTTATTTGTATCTTTCCAGGCGTAAAATGTGAAGCTCTTCTGTTGTTTTTCGGAAGTGACAGCCGTGAAAGTAGAATTTGAAATTGTTTTAACAGTTGAATTTTTTTGAATTTTGGAGAAATAAAATCCCATGTTTTTTGCTATTTCAAGAAATGTAAATTCGAAAAAGAATGCCAAATTTTGAAAACTGAAGATTACCATTGATTTAAATGAGCCACAAAAAATATTATATAACTATACCAATATTAATGATTATATATATCCTCAAAAACATATATTAAAATTACGTATAATTAGTTATGTATAAAAACATATTAAATGTTGGGGCCTGAATGGCCGAGTGTATAGCGATCTGGCACTCAGTGCCTCAGGGCTCTAGACCTTGCGGCACAATGGGTGTTTGTAGTGGTTCGGAAATCCACTTTAAATCGTATTCCCAGTATAATAGGATCGTAGAGTCTTGTCTTGAGGTTTAGTCGGTCTTCAGTTCTCGTGGTTCCTTGCTAAAGTGAAGCTACATATTACCGTTAGCCATGGCCCCCACGTCTGTGACGGGGTGTTCTTGGACCTGATGTAGGTGTGGTGTAGGGACTAGGGGAATTAGTATCAAGAACAACAATAATAAATATAAAATACAATGAAGCCAATAACCTATTACTAAACGACACATACACTGTTACCTATCTTTAAAATTAAGGACAAATATGAGATTCTTTTTCAATTTTAAATAAAATACCTTTTTTTTTTTTTCCTAGTTTATATATATATATATACATTGATTTAACTGGTTTCTTAATTCTCGTTCACACGACTAAAAAAATTGTTGAAGATAGTAAAAATTATTAAAACCTTTCTGAAAAATAATAGAATTGTCAGAAACATAAATAAAACATAATCCTCTTCATTATGGGTAATAACGATTAAACATCGTATTTAATTTTTCTATAATTAATTATTGATTATAGAAAATTATGTATTATTCAAGTAATGACCATAATATAACACTGACACAAATTATTATAAAACTTCCGTTTTAATTACTTTTTTCCAAATATTAGTATGCCAGTTACGTATATATTTATTATTGTAAATTATTTCAAATTGACATATACAAAAGTAAGTACTGCAGTATTTGAAACTGTCATGTCAACAAATAAATACTGCAAGTCATTGACTAACAAACAAGTTTTATTGGATGCAGCACTCTTCTTAAAATTTCGCAAAGTACACTCTCTAAACATACTTGAACCAGCACAGATATTAAACATGAATACAAATCTGAATTTTACTGAAATGCCAGTGAAATAAAAAACATATGTGTTCTTATATTTTTCGAAAACATGTAAATATAGATATTGAAAAAAAGAGGAAATTAACTTAAAAAGAAAATTCAAAAGTTAAGTCAAAAAAAAATTAGAATGTATTTAGAAAAACACATTTTGGGGGAACGTGTGGTCTGTTATTCTTACATTACGCGGGAATATGTTGTACAGAAACATGCTCCAATAATATTCAAAATGCATTGCTTGAGTCTAACGCGCGAAAAAGTAAATAATATATATATTTTTTTTTTTTTTTTTATTTTGGAAAGAATATTCTTCGCGGCTTCAAGCCAATTACCTAATTTATTCTAGCACGAGGCAAACCATTGAGGTGGAACATCACTTTCTTTATATTGAAATCCCAGAAAAAGAGAAATATAGATTCCCAGGCGTTAAACAGAAACAAAAAAAGTTTTTTCTTTTCTTTTTTCTTCTAAAATCGGTTGCAGCTCTGATCTCTCAGCACTATTTAAAATTTGTTTCTGGTTTTCTCAACTTAGAAATGGGAAATATCAACGAAAACAATTCCCATGTTTTATTTTTGCCTTTTCAAGGTTGGAACGGTTATAATTTATTATTTATTTATTCTGGTAACGAATGCGTAAAAAAATATTTGAAGGGGAGCGATTTTATTTTGATTTTGCTGAAATATGAATACTGTTATTTGAATCTTTCCAGGCGTAAAACGTGAAGCTCTGCTGTTGTTTTTTGGAAATCACAGCAATGAAAGTAGAATTTGAAATTGTTTTAACCGTTAAAGATTTTAGAATTTTGAGTAATAAAATATTTATTTCAAGACATGTCATTCGAATAAAAATACATTTTGAAAACTGATCATTGTTTTAAGTGAACTCGCAAAAATATTATATGATTATAAAAAATATTAATGATTATATATATTCTGAAAAACATATATTAAAATTATATGTAATTAGTTAGTGTAAAAACACATTAAATGTTGGGGCCCGAATGACCGAGTAACTGGCCCGAGTATCTGACCCAGGTTTCGGATTAGTATCGCCGAAACCCTGTTTAGAACCTGCAAATTTGCAAATAAATTAGGAATGTATTTTGAAAAAATTCTTAACGGGATATATAGAATAGAATATCCACGAAGCATGAATGGTCGATAGTCCAGCGCACTGGCGCTCGGTGCCAGAGGTTTTGGGTTCGAATTACCCCATGAATCTTTGCAGTGTTTCGAATCCGCTTTAAATCGTAGTCCCGATCTAATAGAATCGTAGATCGTTGTCTTGAAGTTTAGTCAGTCTTCAGTCTAATGGTTTCTCTCTAAAGAGAAACTGCATATTGCCCTTAGCCATGGCCGATTTATCTGCGATGGGGTCACTGGACCTGGTGTAGGTTTTTTGAACCAGGGGGAATAGTAACAGCAACAACAACATATATCAAATCGTCATAATCAACATATATCAACAACAACATATATCATTTTTGTCTGAAATCGGCTGCAGCTCTGATCCGTAGACGATCGGACGACCGTAGAACTCCAAACCAAACCATCCAATTGCACACAGTAATAAAAGCCTGCATAAAATCGCTTTAATTTTTGCAGGAGTTGCCTCTTAGTTGCCATTTTACAATTTGGGGATGATGTGGGGAGAAGAGGGGCGCTTTGAAGCTCTACGGCCATAAGAGACCAGGACCTGCGTCTTAAAATGGATCCGAATAATTACAAACATCCATCAGGCACCGGGATACGAACTCGAAATTTGTGTCAGCGAGCGCCACGGATCTAGACACTCCGCCATTCAAACCCCACATTTTTAATGCCAATGACACACGGTGTTCCCAGTTGGTCACCATGCCAAGTACTGACTGCGTCCCATGACGCTTGACTTCGGTGATCGAAAGAGAACCGATATATTCAGCACGGTATAAACTTGGCAGATTCCGAACCACTAAAAAACCTCCATAGCACCGCCAGGATTCAAACCTAAAGCCTATAGTATCAAAGGCTAGGCACTAGCCAATTCGCTATCAGACCTCTTTTTGTGAGGGGAGTGGAAGTCACTCTAAACTGTAAGTTAAAAAACTGTGAAATTAGCCCAAAGTGTGCACAAAATGACCGTAGACACACACACACCATTCGCCTGCAGACAGTAATAAGAGCCTTTAGAAAAATCGCTTTAATTTTTGAGGACTTGATCGAAGTGCCACCTATCCCAAAGTAAATGAGCTTCCCTCCTTTCTGCAAGAGAAGAACACATTCAGCAGAGGAAGGCCCTCTGATTATCCGGATAATTCCACCAGCAAACAGCGAACAACGGAGAATAGAATGTTAATCGATGGAATCTTATTGGTTTCCCGCCTTACGGCCCAATCCTTCTTCCAAAAGAGACCGAAGACAATTTATAGTGACCAACCCTAATTAATTTATCCGATGAAGCCTTTTATTCATGCACAAACTTCTGCAATTTAGGTATATCCCTCCTGTAACCGTAATTTAACCTCCGAACGAGATTTGTGAAATGGATTTCCCTCTGGTTCTCCTTTCTGTCTGTGTCTTCTACATTTGCAAGAAATTCCGCCGACACTTACAAATTCGGTCCTGTTCAATTGCGAGATCAATGAACTTTGGAAAATCTAATTTGTATTCAGAAAAGGTCAATTCATTTCCACGAAAAGACGTGCGTGGCATAAATTAGTTATTAAATTTGATTTTAACAAACACTATTGAAAATCGAAGTCTCTGTTAACTTGAAATACACAACAACATTAAATCGGCAGATATATGCAAACTGAATTATTTTCGGATCGTAAATGGTTTATTGAAGATGTTTATGAACATTTATGCGAAGGGATAAGAAATTACCTTTACAAAAATACTGTTGGTTTATTTATTTGTATTTAAATATATTTGCATCCTTATATTTGAAAACAGTTGTTTTCATATACAGATTGAAATTTATGAGATATGTTAGCGACCAATCCCTTTTCTCTATAATTTACATTTTATTATGTTTTAAGCACAGTATTCATTTTATTAGCTTTATTTTATGTGATAAAACTTTCAAACCTGTTCATTTAATATGCTTTCTACGTTGTTTATCAATTTCAATGAAAATGTAAAGGGATAAAATATAAAATATTTTAATTACTAATATTTCATTAAGGATAACCTGGTATCAGTATATTAGCTAAAAAATTGACATACCAGAATATGTTCTGTAAGTATTTATGCATTTTTTTGTGATACAACATTAAAAGCTAATCATACTTCTTACTTTTGGTTTTAATTAAAAGAACTTGAAAATCATTGCAGTTTTAAATTGAAACCTTATTTTAAATGAATTCATACATATTTTTTAATAAATTACTTCAGATTGTCATGCTCAAAAATAGTACAAGTCATTGAATAACAAATAAGTTTTATTTGATGAAACTCTCTTCTTAAAATTCTACAAAAACGTATTCACTAAATATACTTCAACTTGCACAGATATTAAACATGAATACAAATCTGAATTTTATTTAAATGCCTCTGAAATAAAAAACATACGTGTTCTTACTTTTTCGAAAACATATAAATATAGACAGTGAACAAAAAAAGGGAAATTAACTTAAAAGGTTTTAAAAGAAAATTCAAATTTAAGTCAGAAACAAATTAGAATGTATTTATAAAACACATTTAGGGGAACGTGCGCTCGGTTATTCTGACATTACGCGGGAATATGTTGTATAGAAACGTGCTCAATAATGTTCAAAATGCATTTCTTGAGTATAACGCGCAAAAAAATAAATAATAAATATTTTTGGGTTTTTTTCATTGTAAAAAGAATTTTCTTCGCGGGTTCAAGCCAATTGCCAATTTATTCTTGCAAAAGGCAAACCATTGAGGTGGAACATTACTTTCTTTAAATTGCAATCCCAGAAAAAGAAAAAAGATTCTCAGACTTTAAACAGAAACGAAAAAAGTTTCTTTTTTTTTTTTTCTGAAGTCGGTTGCAGCTCTGATCACTCAGCACTATTTAAAATTTGTTTCTGGTTTTCCATACTTAGAAATGGGATTATTTGCGTGGAAATTTTCCATGCCTTTTTGCTTTTTTCCGGGTTGGAATGGTTATAATTTATTATTTATTTATTCTGGTAACGAATGCGTAAGAAATATTTGAAGGGGAGTGATTTTATTTTGAGTTTTGCAGAAATATGAATATCGTTATTTGAATCTTTCCAGGCGTAAAAACTTGAAGATCTTTTGTTGTTTTTCGGAAATGATAGCCTTGAAAGTAGAATTTGAAATTGTTTTAAAATTTAAAAGTTTTGAATTTTGAGGAATAAAATGCTTTGTTGTTTGATATTTCAAGACATGTAAATTTGAATAAAAATGCTGTATGTTGAAAACTGAAGATTACCATTGATGTAAATGAAGCATAAAAATATTATATGATTATAAAAAATATCAATAATTATATATATTCTCAAAAGGTATATTAAAATTACGCGTATTTAGTTAGTGTAGATTTTTATTAATCATTTAATGTTGTTGCCCGAATGGCCTAGTATCTGCCCCAGGTTTCTGATTCGAGTCCTCGAAACCCTGTTTAGATCATGCAAATTTGCAAATAAACTAAGAATGTATTTTGAAAAAATTCTTAACAGAATATATAGAACAGAATATACACGAGGCCTAAATGGTCGAGTGTCTGGCGTTCGGTGCCGCAGGTTTCGGGTTCGAGTTACCCATGGATGTTTGTAGTGCTTCGGAATCCACTTTAAATCGTAGTACCGGTCTAATAGAATCGTAGAACGTTGTCTTGAAGTTTAGTCAGTCTTCAGCCCTCGTGGTTCCTCTCTAAAGTGAAACTGCGTATAGCCATTAGCCATGGCCCATTCGTCTGCGATGGGGTCACCTTGACCTGGTGTAATCTTTCTTGCACCAGAGGGATTAGTAGCAACAACAACACATATCAAGTGCACGAATATATATATATATATATTATATGAAATCGGTTGCGCTCTGATCCGTAGACGATAGGACGACCGTAGAGCGACAAACCAAACCAAACCATCCGCTGGCAGACAGTAATAAGAGCCTTTAGAAAAATCACTTTAATTATTGCAAGGACTTGTTCGAAATGCCACCTACCCCAAAGTAAATAAGCGTCCCCCTTTCTGCAAGAGAAGATCACCTTCAGCAGGGAAATACCCTCTCACTATCCGGTTAATTCCACCAGGAAACAACGAACAATGGAGAATAGAACGTTAATCGATAGAATCTTATTGGTTTCCCGCCTTATGGGCAAATCCTTCTTCCGAAGAGACCGAAGACAATTTATAGTGACCACCCTAATTAATTTATCCGATGAAGCGTTTTATTGGTGCACAAACTTCTGCAATTTAGGCTGTCCCTCCTGTAACCGTAATTTAACCTCCCAGCGAGATTTGTGAAATGGATTTTCTTCTGGTTCTCCTTTCTGTCTGTGTCTTCTGCATTTGCAAGAAATTCCACCGACACTTACAAATTCTGCCCTATTCAATTGCGAGATCAATGAAGTTTGGAATATTTAATTTATGTTCAGAAAAGGTCAATTGGTTTCCACGAAAAGACATGCGGCATAAATTACTTTTAAATTTAATTTTAACCAAACAGTATTGAAAATCGAAGTCTCTGTTAACTCGAAATACACAAACACCATTAAATCGGCAGATATGCAAACTGAATTATTTTCAGGCTCGAAAATGGTTTATTGAAGATAAATATTTATGCGAAGAGATGAGAAATTCCCTCTACAAAAATACTGCTATTGTGTTAATTTGAATGTCTTTATATTTAAAAAAAGTTTTTATACATGCAGATTTAAATTTATGAGATATGTTAACGATCAATCCATTGCTTAGATAATTTGCATTTTGTAATGTTTGAAGAACAGTATTCCTTTAAATAGTTTTATTTTATTTGATGAACTCTTTAAACCTGTTCATTCAAAGTGCTTCCTTTGTTGTTTATTAATTTCAATTCAAGTGTTAAGGCATAGCATATAAAATAGTTTAATTACTAATATTTAGTATATTTACTAATATTTATTTTAATATTTTATTAAGAATAACGTGATATATTTGCTACAAAATATGTGGCACCGAGTGCCATGACGCTAGACACTCGGCCATTCAGGCCCCACATTTTGAATACCAATGCCACACGATCAGTTGGTAGGTCACCTTACCAAGTACTGACTGCGTCCCGTGATGCTTAACCTTGGTGATCAAAGGAGAGCCGGTATATTCAGCACGGTATAGATTTGGCAGATTCGAACCCCTAAAAACCTCCATGAAACCTAAAGGAAGCCATTGATACCAAAGGCCAGGGTACTATCCAATTGTCCATCAGGCCCCTTTTGTGAGCGGTTCGGAATCCACGTTAAACTGTAGGTTCCTATCTAAATAGCGCAAAGTGTGCACAAAATGACCGTAGAGAGACAAACCCAGCCATCCGCCTGCAGACAATAATAAGAACCTTTAGAAAAATCACATTATTTTTTGCAGAACTTGATCGAAATGCCACCTACCCAAAGTAAATAAGCTTTCCGCTTTCCCGTGCAAGAGAAGATCACCTTCAGCAGGGAAATGCCCTCTCATTATCCGGATAATTCCACCAGGATATAACGAACAATGGAGAATAGAATGTTAATCGATGGAATCTTATTGGATTCCCTCCTTATGGGCCAATCCTTCTTCCAAAAAGAGTCCGAAGACAATTTATAGCGACCACCCTAATTAATTTATCCAATGAAGCGTTTTATTGATGCACAAACTTCTGTAATTTAGGCTATCGTCCCTCCTGTAATCGGAATTTAACCTCCGAGCGAGATTTGTGAAATAGATTTTACTCTGGTTCTATTTTCTAATATATGTCTTCTACATTTGCAAGAAATTCCACC